AGGGATACTGACTACGGAATGGAGCAAGCATCCACCTCCTCTACATGGATGACATCAAGCTGTATGCCAGGAGTGAACGAGACATCGACTCACCGATCCACACCACTAGGATCTACAGCCAGGACATCAGAATGTCATTCAGACTGGATAAGTGTGGTTGAATGGTAACAAGGAGAGGGAAGATGGTCAGAACTGAGGGGATTGTACTACCAGAAGGCAACATAGCAGATGTTGAGGACAGCTACAAGTACCTTGGCATCCCGGAGGCAAATGGGAACCATGAAGAGGCCGCAAGGAAAGCAGCAACTACCAAGTACCTGCTGAGAGTAAGGCAAGTCCTGAGAAGTTGACTGAATGGAAAGAAAAAAGTCCAGGCAATTAACACCTACGCCCTGCCGGTCATCAGGTACCCCGCTGGCATAATGAGCTGGCCGAAGGAGGAGATAGAGGCCAATGATATCAAGTTAAGGAAGCTCCTTACAATGCATGGTGGGTTTCACCCCAAGTCCAGCATCCTGAGACTGTACACTAAGCGGAAGGAAGGAGGCCAAGTGTCAGAGCCACTATCCAGGATGAAACAAAGATCCATGAATACATCAGGAAGATGGCCCTGAGTGATAACATGCTTTGTGAACACCTCAGGCAGCAGAAACCAAAGGAACTAGGGAAGGAAGAGCAGGAACCCTCATGGAACTAGGGAAGGAAGAGCAGGAACCCTCATGGAAGGAGAAACCTCTGCACAGTGTGTACCACCGTCAAATAGAAGAAGTGGCTGATAATCGAAAAATCCTACCAGTGGCTGGACAAAGCTGGACTGAAAGACAGCACAGAGGCACTAATCATGACAGCACAAGAAAGGCTCCAAGTACAAGATCAACAGAGGCCGGGTCTATCATACCAGACAGGACCCCAGGTGCAGGCTGTGCAAAGATGCCCTTGAGACAATCCAGCACATAACAGCGGGGTGCAAGATGCTAGCAGGCAGGGCATACATGGAACGCCATAACCAAGTGGCTGGCAT